TTATGCAATGCAAAGTAATAGTCCAAATCATCATCCCTTGAATCTCTGTTTTAACAAGTCTTCCCAAAGACTAACTATCATCTTACTCCTACGTAAGTAGAATCTTGAAGTAGAAGTAGAATCCTCAAGAAAAAAATTTCGATGAACCAAACTAGTTTTAAAATAGTACCAAAGCATATGCTAGTCAAATCCGGTCCTACGCAGAAGAAGAAGATTTGGGGGGATTAAAGATTTGACCAACGAACAAAACAATACCGGTTTTGTCTTCTATTATCGAAAAAAGAAACGGATGATCTGCCACAAAATCTATCCTCTTCTTGGCGCAGCCTTTACCATTAAATAACCTAACAACAGTGAGAGCAGCAGCTTCTGCACCATCTTCATTGATCTCGACACAAGCTTTATGGTAAACTTTGAGCTCCTCCAATTCATCGAAAGCATCTGATGCCTCAAAGGCGAATTCAYTCTTAAACTTTGGGATACTAATTTCACCAACATCAACTTTCTCTCTTGGAATGTGACTATCCAAGAATCCAGGAGTATACGCCATTCTTTTCACAAGATTATTCAATCCATCATTGGCGTCCGGGAGATAGAGGTACATTGAGAATTGGCGATTGATATCATCGCTTTGTTGAAATGGGAGCTTAAGGACTTTGAAATCGTCGTAATCCGCTATGTATTGCTTCGAATAGCTCTTGCACATGAATGGTACAGAGACTGAGGTGCCATTGAGAAGGTGAAACTTTTTGTCTTCTGTCCGAGACTTAATGAATTTGCTTTCCCAAGTTCCCTTGAAGTACAATGCGTTTCCGAAAATCCGTTCGGTTAGGCTTTTAACAGATCCAGGAGGAAGAATTTTTTTTGATGAGACCATTAGTGTGATTTGAAACCCATGAATTCACCTCCTCATGCACTTGTTCAGCCTTGAATCGGAAATCAARTTGAGAGAAAGTAGCCTTGAAGAAATTCTCAAAGAGATCCTTCAACGAAGGTTCAAGGAATAGTGATTACTCTATCCACACTCCATTAACCGACGAGATCTTAGGGCCACCGTTCGCGCTACCATCGATTGAGGAAGACCTAAGGACGAACAAGATCAAGGATCTTACTCTTTCGTCTTCAGTGGTAGACGCGACCATGGTGAAATTAGTGTTTCTTGCTACGGTAGAGATTACTTTCTCCGCAAGGAACATAGTGACGTCGTTTTGCTTCTTCAGGTCCATCTTTGAGAGGGGACTTGCGGTTTCTGATGTGGTAAGGTCTCGTTTCTTCTCTATTGGATCCATCCTTTTTAAGTTTTATGTTTTGTTTCTTCTGAGCATAAATATATAGACGAAAATATAAGAGACCTAGTTGCTAATCAAATATAGAACTAGGGTTTGGTTTATGTTAAAAAGGAAAAAAGTCATGAGATAAAAAGGCTTTTAGTGTGTAATACATTTGGGCCACGGAGAAGAAAAAGATGAAAGAGAAAAACAAAAAAATGTTCAAAGATAGCATTTTATATGGTCCTTTCCCACCGTGCCAATCGAACTAGCGACATCTACGTTTTGTCTGATATATTTTATGCTAATGGCTCTTGGTTTTCGACGTCACGTTATGTGGATATGGTGTGTCTTGATCTCGTCTTGCCGATGTGGATTTAATCCACACTATAGGAGGAACTCCTATTTGTAGTTAGTGACTTGTCTTTTGCGGTTGGACATTCGTTAGTCTTTCGAAATTTAGAAATTTTAGCAGCAAAGTGTTTTCTAGCTTTCTAAAAGGTAAACAAATTTTATTTGGTATTGTAATTTGTTACCAGAAACAACTATAATGTTCAATATTCAGCTTTGCTTGTTCGGAGATCAATACAATTGTATAGCTACTGAAAACAAGATATATGTCAGACATAAAGCTAGAGATCTTCATGGTTTGAAAAATGATAGTCACAATCTAGTAATCTCGAACTGATCTATTCACACAATGAACACAACTTCTTTTAAATTGGAACTTAGCCACTGTTTTACATTTAGGCCATCGATCAAGCAGCTTCATAAAACAGAACCTCGGGCCGAACCTTCCTTTCCACACAGAATCTGACCACACTCTTCCAGTCACCAACATTCTATTGCATCACCACACATATCTCAAACTCAACTCAAGAAAGTGACAAAGACAAACTAACAGTTTCTGTCTTACCTCTTTTGGTAAAGCTTCATTTCCAAGACTGAACCACCGGGTCGTTTTATAAGCTAGGCAAATGTATTCTTCTTCTTCTTTACCATAACCAACCTGTAACCATATTCTGACAATGTAACAGAGAACTATAAAAGAGTACTAAAACAAGCATTTGGTGACACTGTTTCAGATTTTACCATTGACACAAGCCGGTACTTTTTGTTTGGTTCTAATCCTTCGTATAACCTGCTGATATCTATCTCCCAATCCAAAGCCTTTGTTGTTCCAGATATTTCCTCTTCAGTTTCATTCTTCACCCATTCCAACACTAACACAAAATACCAACATTGTTTCGTCATAGCACAATAAATGAAATGAGTACCTAAAATCACACAATCATTGTCAATACTTACCGATTGTGAAAATAGGCGGGCATCTACTTATAATGTGATGAACAAAGTTTTCCATTCCACAGTCACATAACATTTTATCTTCCATATGGATCACCTTAAGGATGTCCTCGAACTTTATATCCCCAAAACCACACTGCATTATATTTAACCACAGAACAGTTTCTTAAGGGGTTAGTACCAGTTTCTGTAGGAAAAATAAACAGACAAATAAATGAAACATACCTTCAGGTCTCTGATTGAATTTGCAGCTATAACAATGCCATAAGAAGTTTGCTCTTGATAATTTGGCTTCTTTCCGCATTTGCTACAACTCATTCTTTCATATTCTTCAAGTGTAAAAAGATGAGTTACCACGCTTTCTATTTCTGGACTTTTCCAGCAAGGCCAAAACTCAAGGATGGATACGAGTAGCTCAGCCGCATCCCTTGACTGAAAAGAGTTTTAAAAAAAAACATAATGACATTTACGACAACAATCAAGAAAACTTAAAAAGCTTATATTTATCAGGTAAAACCATACTTCTAGGGAAGCAAGTAAGTTTTCCAGAAGGTAACTGTGGACTCCCTCTTCTTTAATCTCTGAGACAAAAGCAGTAAAGAAACTTTGTAGCGCAGAAGGAACTTGTTCTTCTAGGTTGTCAGGAAACTGATCCCTATTTTCCACCAAATAGTCTTTAAGAGCCTTAATGTTACAAAGGGCCTGCAGTAGCACAATTTGTCAAATTAAATAAGTACAGATATAATACATGAAAATTAGGAATGAGCTGAAACAGTAGAAACTTTTGAAACGTTTTGCTACCTTCAGTGTCATCTCAAGAGCTGATTTGCATCTCGTTGCAGCTGCTCCATGTGCTGACTCCAAATGTTTCAACTGTGAATTTTCTCCAGGCATGTTTGTCAATTGAGAAGCTCTTCTAGCAGCTTCCTCTTGATTGTCAGTGTTTGATGAAGTTTCCAATTGATCCCTTTCACTTGAGACAGTATGTTCCGGTTCACTGGACATGTAACAAGACGGTTTGCTCAGAGTGGACCCGAAAACAATATATCAACATGCAAAAAAGACTCTTGAGGTACTTACTGTTCAACAATCTTATCAAGGGGACTAGATACGCTCGTTGAAGTTTTCTGTTGCACCATGAAGACCATTTCTTCATACAACTGAGTAAAAGAAAATTCAGCAAAGCAAATAGAGAATTTAGAATTTTAAAGACC